AGCTCAGGTCCTGATTTCAGGGTCCTGGGATCCAGCCCCTCTTTGAGCTCCCCGCTCAGTGGAAGCCTGCTTCTCCCTCTCCCGCTTCCCCTGCTTGTGCTCCCTCTCTAGCTGTCTCTCTCTCTGTGTCAAATAAATAAATAAAATCTTTTAAAAAGAAAGACTAAATGTAAGAATTATTGGGGTTAATTAAATTTTTAAAAAATAATTATAGAGGTTAGAAGTTTGTATGGTCTCAGTGTAATTTAAGAAACTAAATGTTAATTTTAAATAGTTACAAGTTAATCTACATTATTATCTCCAAAGCACAAAACTAATTTAACACAAGATCTGTTGTTGTAGTTTCAATGTCAGGGAAAATCGTGGGGACTAGAGTAAAACGCTTGAAATGATCTCAAGGGGTGAATCGGTCTTAAAGAATTAAATCCACAGCAGCTTTTTGGGGTGGTTCCCTGAAGAGTAGAAAATTGACACTGAGGTGCTGGAATGGAAATGGCTTCAAAATAAAGGAACTTTCAATGCCATCTAGTTAGAGTACCTGCCTCTCTGCCTCCTTTGGATTGAAAGTATCCTGATCATTATAAGAAAGCTCCTAACTACATCCTCAACTAATCTGAATCTTCTACAAGTGTTTGGGGGCTGTCTTTAATGGTGGGTGAAAAGGCAAGTCAACTATGCACATCAGTGCATACACATCAGTGCACACACACACACACACACATATATTCGTGTCTGGAATGTTAGTGCTTTGCCACTTGAGATTTTATGCAGATGCCTAGGCAGTGGAAATCAAGGGACAACAGACTGGCAGCTACTTGGGAAAGTAAGCAAAACTCAGTGAATTAGAAAAACTTGCGAGGTGATTTGAGAAATTATCCTGGCTCAAGGTCTCTTTGTAAAGATTCTCGCACACTTTGCAAAACATGGTTCATGATCAAAAGCAGCAGTGGGGGGGGTACCTGGGTGGCTCAGTGAGTTAAGCCTCAGGTCATGATCTCAGGGTCCTGGGATGGAGCCCCACATCGGGTTCTCTGCTCAGCAGGGAGCCTGCTTCCCCCTTTCTCTCTGTCTGCCTCTCTGCCTACTTGTGATCTCTGTCTCTCAAATAAATAAAATCTTAAAAAAAAAAAAGCAGCAATAGGTCTTGTCATCATTGGGGATTAATCCTAAGTGTATGTTGTAAATTCCATTCCCTTACTTTACCTTATTCAATTCCCCTGCTGGTGGTAGGGCTCTCCTCAAGGTCATTAAACCAATAAATTGCAGCCTGTCTCTAAAACAAAGTGCAAATAATGCTCCTTGAATATTCTACAGATTTTTTTTTTTTAATAAGCCCAACTTGGGGCTTGTACTCACCACTCCCAGATCAAGAGTTGCTTGCTCTACAGACTAAAGCAGCCAGGCACCCCATGTAACCGAAGTTTCTTTACTTCTGCTTGTTGTCTTCTCTTATTTTTTCCTGAGGGGCTGTGAATAACAACAGCAAGAATACTGCTGTTTATATACTAAGATTTCTATTTAAGATTAGTTTTCTTGACTGATGTAGCCCCCTTACAGATATTATCAGAAAGGAGTGAGGTTCGTTGAAACTTTTATTGCTCTCATTAGCAGCCCATCTTGCTAACTTTATTGGATGAATATGCCAAAGCCATGAACTGTTCACAGAAGAAAAAAGACTCAGGCTGTCTTCTATCCACATATGCCTTAAGACACACACACACACACGCACGCACACACGCCTTTTTAAATATTTTTTTTTATCTTAACCGCGCCCAACACCGGGTTTGAACTCACGACCCTGAGATCAAGAGTAGAACGCTTTGCGGACTGAGCCAGCCAGGCCTCCATTTATATGTCTTTCTTGACATGAGTTCCACAACACGGGTACATTCTTCCCCATATTTATCCTAAGTTCACAGTCTTCCTATATATTCATATCTTACCCACAGTCCTGTAATTTTTTAAAAACATCTCGTGCAAGAAGGCCCTTTTAGAATGGCGAATAGCTTCCCTCACCCTAATCTGTTTTTCTTAAACACTCAACGGATCCAAGAATCTCCTGCGCCTGACTTAGTCTGACCTTCGTTTCAGCAGGCCCACGACCACAGTGGGGAAATCTCGCCGCGCCCCAGCTCGGGAGCGGCGGCGGTGGGAAGGCTGCTAGAGCGTGCAACCTCGCAGCTGGGTCAGAACTGAGTCCCTTTCCGGTCCGCTCCAGGGTCGGAGAGGAGCGCGGGCTCAGACCCCGCTCTTCCCGTAGCGCGCGCGCCCCCTGGCGGCCAGAGATCCGGGCGGGCGCCAGCAGGGCCAAGGAATGGGGAGGGAGGCGTAGGGATCCCTGTGCCGGAGCTGGAGGCCCTGGGAACAGCGAAGTCACCCTGTCAAAAATACACCAGGGCGTCCCAGCGCCGACCTTCCTACGCCTCCTCCGGCGCCCCACTCGCGCCGAGTCCCGGTGTTGCCTCGGGTTTGCTCCAGCGGCGAGTCTCGGCGTCCCAAGCGCGGTGGCGTCGCTTGCCCCCAGGGGCCCTCTTTGCACGCCCCCTCCACGACCCGGGAGACCAGCGGGCCGCTCGCAGCCCCGGACCTGCATTTCAGAGAGCAGCCGAGCGCCCCTCCTCGCCCGGGATGCGCGGGGCGCGGGCCGGCGGCGGGCGTCAGTGCGAGGGGGCTGGACCCGGCGAGGGGAAGAACTTGTAATCGCTTGCAGCGGGACAATGCTGACTTTTGAACCTCTAACCACTAAGCAAACAACCCTTGTGCTCTCGCTTCACTGTCCAAACAGGGTTTATTGACAGGCGTTTCACAGCAACGCATAGCAACCGCGGCGGCGGCTGGGGGCGGACGTGTGGGCGCGGCCGGGCGCGGGTCCTGGCTCTCCTCCCAGCGCCGGGACTCCCCAGGAGGCACAGAGACCCGGGACCGGTCGCGGGGGGCGGGGGGCGGATAACCGGGCTTGAAACACCACCCCCAGCTCGGCGGACTCCCCAGCCCGAGGGGCGGGCCAGGCACTCTCCATCCAGCTCTGAGCCGGGCGCCCGCGGGCCCGGCCACCAGGGCAGCTTTCTCAATCCCGGAGCGGAATGCCACCTGGAAGGGCCGCAGAGCCGGGGACATGCTGCAGGCGCTATTTAGGTCTCGCTGCTTTGCTCTTCCTCCCGAGCCCTCGGGGCCACCTTCTGCTCCTGCGGGGGCAGTGATTAGGGCTCGAAGGTGCTTGTGGGAAGACCGACACGGAGAGCAAAGCCCTTTCCCCACGCCCTGCCTGCCAGAGCGCCCAGCTCGGCGGCTTCCAGGACCCAAAACCTCAAGGGCAGCAGCGCGGTGCCAGTGGATCGGCTAGATAACAAGCAACTACCACTAAAACGGTCTCCTTATAATAGGTCTTGAATTCTTTGCGAAGTGCGGGAAGGGGGTGTGGGTGTGGGGCAAGGGAGGCAGTTCCGCAACACACGGCAAGGAGTGGAGACCGACAAGGGCTCGTAGAAATGCCCAGTTGATTCACAGAAGACTATAGTCCTGGAAATGTTCCCTTGAGAGAGCAGAAAACACAACACTTTTACTAAACGCTTCTGTTTAACTAGCTGGATTGTGGGACATCCCTCCGGTGAAGGGAATCACTGAGGAAGGGGATGTCTGCAACCGCATCAATGTGCATTTGATGAGATGTCAGGAGGGGACTCTCTCACCACCACCACCACCCCCATAATTCTCCACAGCTTGGAAGCAGCTGACCATTCAGATGTACATTTAGCCCAAAGCCACCCCAGGAGAACCACACATTCCACAATCCAAGGTTGGGCTCAGGCTTGGGGGCAGGGAAGGTCTTAGAACCTGCTCCCTCAGGCTTCTGACGCTCTGGGGTAAAATGAGTTTATCCAGATAACCTTCTCCACCCCCCTCCCTGGTTTTTCTAATACTAGCTCGCAAGTAGACATTTCATATCTTAAAAAAAAAATAATAATAATTCCAGAAAAAATCTGAGGATGATAAATACAGACTCTGAAATCTGGAAAGCTCATTTATCTCTCTCTCTCTCTCTCTCTCTCTTTTTTTTTTCTTTTTAGAAAAAAATTCAACTGTGTTCAAATAACCCCCACTTCCCTTCACTGTATCACTTCTCTCCCCCATGGAATCAGGCTTTTTAAATGCTGGCTTGGATGTTGCACAGACCAACAACTCAAACAGCAGCAACAACAACAAAAACTCCCCTTTTTCATCAGCCCCAAGATTGTGAAAATGACAGGAAGTCCAGGTTGGCTCTGGCATTTATAGCACTGACATACATTCAGCCCAGAGAAGCTCTGGTGACAGGCTTTCTAAACAAGGCCCTGTCCCGGGCCCTCTTGTCAGGCCTGGAGCCCCATAACCACGCCCCTCACACCATACAGCAGCACATACACCACTCAAGCCTTTCCTGGTCTGGGAAGGGAAGAGAAGAAAGACAAAGACCTGGGGGTTCTGCAGTCTTTGGTAGGTCCAGGTTTCTATCTTAGCTGCCTCTGACTTTTGCAGTTAAAGCTTGCCTGCCCTTGAGGCAGGAGGGACCAGCTGGCCCTTGAATGGCTGGGAGTAGGCAGTAGCCATCTTGGCTGCAAGCGCTGGCATTCCCCCTGAGTTCCTCTCTTCCCTCGGCTTCAATCAGAGGTGTGTCCCGCAGATTTTGGAGGCCAAGATCTGCGGAGGTGGGGGCTGACGGCCTGTCTGTTTATTCAGTCCAGGCCAGGCTTCTGCCAGTACTAAATGAAGCCCGGTAGTCATATCCCATCTCCTCGCTGACAGAAAGTCAGACCAGCAGAAGTCCAAATCTGGGAGAATGTCTTCCTGGAGGCCTCCAACCCCACTTGTCCTTACTCCCGGCCCCCATTTTTCCTCTGAAAGCTAGGTAAGTTGGTGCACATTTGTGGTTAGGAGGGAAGGGGGTCTCTCCTGAGGATTCTAGCAGAGTCTATGCTCCTCGTGGCTCAGCCCGGAATCGCTCTGCTGCAGGCCACTGGAGGTCACTGGGTGACAGTGGGGTTTAACACCCCTGCCGCTGGCCCCAGAACCCCAGGGACGGAGCCAGGCACCGAGCCTTGCAGGGCAGACACAGGACTCAGGGGCTCCGGGACACTTCTCAGAGGGCCTGGCTGCGGCTGGGGCGGCTGCGGGGCAGGCGGTGGGCCTTGCGGGGGCGGTGGCTGCTGCTGCTGCTGCTGCTGCAACTTCTTCTTGTTGATTTTCCTTTCCTTGGCTCTGCGGTTCTGAAACCAAATTTTAACCTAGAAATGGAAGATGGAGAAAAATAGAGGGTGATGAATGAGCCGATGGAGGGGGTAAGGAACTGGTCCTCAGCCCCAGCTGCCGTATCTCCCTCTCCAGCTAAAGAAGGACCCTCTTGAACTCAGGGACCCCCAGACCTTCTCCCAGCCTTTCATCTGAGAGCTCGGGACCGCACAGAGCTGGAGCCCTTCCCGAGCCCAGTACAGCCTCAGGAGAGAAGAGCCTTCCTTCCTCCTTGCTCACCACGTTTTGTTCCAAAGCAGCCTTTATCTACAGCTTTACTGGAAGAGTTCAGAGTCTCAGAACCAAGGAAAACAGAAACTGCAGAGCATTTTCCACAACAAGCAAGAGAAGACCAGCGTGGATATAGTTCAAAATGCCAGCCTTTGGCCTCTCAAAATTAAACTGGAATGTAGTATTCCTCACCTCAAAGCTGAGAATGAGATGAGAGAGAGAGAGAGAGAGAGAGAGAGAGAGTTGTCCATTTATTTGAGAGAGAGAGAGAAAACACGTGAGTGCGTGGGGGGAGGGGCAAAAGGAGCCGGGGAGAGAGTCCCAAGTAGACTCCATGCAGGTTGCAGAGCCCCACATGGGGCTGGATCACACAACCACAACCTGAGATGCTTAACTGACTGTGCGACCCAGGCGCCCCCTGAGAACGAGATTCAGTGTGCAGCCTCATGGCAGTGGATTCTGCCTTTTTCTAGACCATATAGAGTGTTCGTGAGTCAAGCCTCACTCTAGTGTTCATGGGCCTTTAAAAAAAAAAAGATTTTATTTATTTATTTGACAGAGAGAGAGATCACAAGTAGGCAGGGAGGCAGGTAGGGGGCGGGGAGCAGGCTCAGAGAGCCTGATGCGGGGCTCGATCCCAGGACCCTAAGATCATGATCTGAGCCAAAGGCAGAGGCTGAACCCACTGAGCCACCCAGGAGCCCTGGGATTGGGGTATTATATTAATTTTTCCCCAGGTATGGTACTGGGCACAAAGAAAAAAGGTCTTTAAGTCTTCTTTCACCAAAATAGAACTCCGGATTAAACTACTGCTCATATTTTTTTTTCTTGCACCTTCTGGGTCCCGGAAAATAGGAGAAAAAGAATCAACATCCAAAAAGACAACTAGAGGTGGAAGGAACCTTTTCTAAAAGCATTTGGAAAGAAATACTCTCCATCCTCCTGATTGATTGATTTATTTACTTACTTACCTACTTACTTACTTACTTATTTTTTTAAAGATTTTATTTATTATTTGACAGAGAGAGATACAGTGAGAGAGGGAACACAAGCAGGGGGAGCAGGAGAGGGAGAAGCGGACTCCCTGGATCAGGGCCAAAGGCAGACGATCAATAACTGAGCCACCCAGGAGCCCCTACTTACTTATTTTAAGTAAGCTCTACACCCACTGTGGGGCTTGAACTCAACAACCGTGAGATGGAGAGCTGCATGCTCTGAGCCAGCTGGCGCCCCTCTATCCTCCCGCTTTAATCTGCTCACAGAACTAGGTAGATTCTGGGGCCCAGCTTCTAACTCTGCCTGAGGAACCCTCTGCCCCCTCCCCCCAACCCGCCGCCAGGGACCAGGCCCTGGAGGGAGCAAAACGGTTCCCACCTGCCTCTCGGAGAGCCCCAGTGTGGCGGCCAGCTCGGCTTTCCTCCGGATGGTGATGTAACGACTGTAGTGAAACTCCTTCTCCAGCTCCAGCCGCTGGTGATCCGTGTACACCACTCGGTATTTGTCTTTCGTCCTGGTTTTCACTGAAGAGGAAGGAGAATTAGGGCTGAGAACTGCAAAGCGGCCCATCAGTCATGGGTAATGACAAACCTCCCTAACCCAAGGGCCATTTCTCTTCCTCCACCACCCCAGGGGGCCAGGGTTTGGCTGGTTCCTGCCGGGCCTGACAAGACCCCCCAGGGGGTCCTGAGGGGCGGGTGTGAGCCTATCCAAGACAACTAAACTAACCTTGAGGTTAAGTGGTTTTTAAAAATGAAGAAAAACTAAAACCTCATTCACACACGATAACAGAACCCAACCACCCTTCTGGTAAGCCAAATACAGTATTGGAGCAGGCCAGGCCCAAAGGCAAAGGGGACAGAATGGAATCTCCAGAGTCCTGGGAGTGCTCAGATTTTCAGGTGTGCCGGAGATGGAAGCCCGCCCTGAAAACAGCTGGGGGTGTGGGTATGCGCTGGTGGCAATGTTACTTTCTGTTCGCTTTATTAAAAGTGGAAAGAGGAGTGCCTGGGTGCCTCAGTACTTAAGTGGCTACCTTCAGCTCAGGTCGTGATCCCAGGGTCCTGGGATAGAGCCCCACATCAGGCTCCCTGCTCAGCAGAGAGCCTGCTTCTCCCTCTCCCCCTCCCCCTGCTTGTGTTCCCTCTTATGCTGTGTCTCTCTCTGTCAAATAAAGAAATAAAATCTTTAAAAAAAAAAGTGGAAACAGGGGGAGGTGTGCAGGAGCTGACAGTTTCTCTCAAGTCACCAGAAACTTCTCCCAGGCACACTAGGCCCATCTGGTGGAATTCTGAGCTGGGGTTTGGCAAGCAGAAAACCCTCCCCCCAGCTCCGGGGACCACTGTATACCTGGCTGAACCTGGTTTGGCATTTGGCACTTTTTCTTTTTCAATCCCCCATTTATTTCTGCTACAAACTCTGCCAGAGTTATCCAGACCAGTGATCTATGCTCATTGGATTGAGTCAACATATTAAACCTCAGATTGATTGTTTCACTGAAGGGCCTTGACAAATAGTGCCGTCGCGGTTGGAGCAGGCCCGAGCCTGGCGTCTGCACCGGGTCTGTCCTGGGTCTGTCCTGTCCTCCCGCAGCCCCGGCGGGGAGCTCTTCCCTCCTCGTTGGCCCCAGGTTCAGGTCTTTCTGCAGCCCGACAGGTTCAGTCGCCCGGTGCCCAGTCCTCCAGGAAGATCTAAAGGGTCTGGGAGTTTCTTGGAGGTGTTTAATGCCCCGCAGGCCTACTTTGTTCAGGTAAAAACCCTTTGCAAACCACAACAAAAGCGCCCTGGGAAGATACAGGCCGGATCAGAGGGAGCTCCCCCGAGCCGCTGAAAGGGGAACACAGTCGCAAACAATGCAGGACAAGGCGATCTTATCAAAGAAAAGCCCTTTCAATGCCTTAATAACAACCGCATTCTGTTTGAATTACCACTACTGAGCAAATGGCGGTCCCGGCTTTCATCCCCCTCCCCGCCAGGCGCATTAACATAAACACGGCCCGGCAGGCGCATTTGAATGGCGCAGCGGCCCCGACCCCGCGGCTGCTAAGAAAGTAAAGGGAACTAACACGTTCTGAGAGCTTTCCGAGTGGAGGGCGCGTTTACACGCGTTGCCGCCTCAAACCCACTCGAGGCTGCCAGCGGTAGTCGCCCCATTTTACAGATGAGGAAACTGAGAGTCGGACGAGGTCATGCAGGGAGTATCAGGCGGGGTTGGAGAAACTGCAGCCGGGGTTGGAGCCTAAAGGGCACCCCCGGGACTTGGGAGCAGGGCGCAGAAAACGTTCTCCGAGCTGAACATCTCAGCAGCGGTGTTCGCCTTGGGGTGCTTGGGATCGGCTCTTGTTCCAGTGCTCCCCTTTCAGTATCCGGGATGCGCCGGGAGCGCGGTGACCAGGACCCCTGTGCGCTCTGCGGCTTGCGCCCCAAGGGCCTTGGAGGCGCCCCGCACCCCCTGGGAACCAAGGAGGGGGCTGGAGGAGGGGAGAGATGAGAGGGACTTGTGAGAATTCATTATTGACTGCGAAAGTCACCACCCTCTTTCCGGGCCCTAAAAGAGACAATGGCAGGGCTGGGAAGGTGTATATCAAAGCGGGCAGGGCCGAGGACCAGCCCCCTAGCCCCTTGACAGATGATGCTCCGCAGAAGAGTCGGGCACTGGCCCGCGGGCCTCGGCCTCCCTACATTAACATCACAAGGGCGCCCGGCGCCGACTGCGGCCTTGCCACCTCTGCGCGGGACATCACAGCGGCCTCTCATCTGCTGACCCCGCGGCCTGGGCTCCTGCGGCTCTCCTCCCTCTCCCCCTCCCGGCCCGGCCGGCGGCCGCTCTCCCCAGACGAACCAAAGGGCTCCCTTAGGGCCCCTGGTGGCTGCCAGTTGCGCCCCAGGCCGGCTCCGTAAGAGAGAGCCTTCTCTGAGACGGCGCACGGTTCAGACGAGGGCGCCTCCTCTTGGGGAAGGGACCTAGCCGAGGCTTCGAGGCTGGCCCTGTGGCCTTCTCCGTGGGCGGCCGCATTTCCCACCCGGCATGTGCCCAGTGACGCAAATACCGATGCCCAGAGACAGCCCCCAACGACTTCTCTGATTTATACGGCAGTAATTGGCTATAAACCTCTGCAAAGTGGCCATAACCTGCAAGAGGACAAGGCTGGGCCAGAAAGAAGGAAAGAGAAAAAAGCGGAAGTGCAGAGGGCTAGGAAGACTTCAAGGAGTGCAAAGGGACGCCAACAGGACTCTCTCCCACCACACCTATTCGCACTTCCTTCCCACTTTGACACAGAACCCAATACCAGAAGGGGCAGACCCGGAACTAATGAGCCCCCACAATCGGGCAAACCTAGGACATCTGCAGGGACATCTCCTTAGTCAGCTTCTTGAACACAGGCGCATGTGAACACACGTACACATACACCTCCCCCTACCCCACAACCCTGGAAAGGAAGGGTAGGGAGAGGTGATCCCTGTCTGGAGCAGAAGCTGAATCCTCACCAAGGATTCCTCCCCCCGCTTCCGCAGACACAGGAGGACTCCCATGACTTCTTAACCCTAGCCCCCCAGCTTCTGAATCTTTGCAAATCAAAGGTTCAATGAGGGGACGCCCTCCTTTCCCCTTAGTTCCTGGGGCCTTTGCTGCAAATGCAGCTTTTTGCCCCACGTCTTCCTACTCGCCCTAGCTCTTGAGATCCCTTGAATTGGCCCGAATGGTCGAACCTGGTCCCGAGCACAGCCTCACAGCCCTCCTGGTCCCCCCGGGCCACCATTCTTCTTGAGTGGCTCCGTGGCGTGGAAAGAAATGCTCTAAAGCCCGGCCGATGGAGTGCAGGGCTCCCTTTCCCCGGCGGCTCCAAGCCGCGCACCCGGTGCTAACGGTGGCAAGTGGAGGAGGACGCGCTCCTGCAGCGCCTGCTCCCGCCGACATTCCTGGGAGCGTCCCCAGAGCGTTGGGATGGTACGAATGAAGGACCGCTGGAGGGAGGAAGGTTCTCCTGCGCTAAACAGAACGCGGGCTGGGAGACCAAAATATCCACTCTCGCCCCCACCCCCTGCCTGCCCAGGCACAGTAGAGAAGCCCCGCAGTCGAGGCCCCCTGAATTAGTCTCCCGCCCCGGCCCTCGGGGCGCGGAGCCCCTAGACAGCTCTGGACGCCTCGGTCCGCCCTGGACACGCGGCCAGCCCAGCAGCCACCTCCTGCCGGGCGCCGCCACTGCCTACCTTGGCTTCCAAGGGACGGCTGCGCAGGCTTCCGCATCCACTCGCACAGGTTCCGCCGCTGGCCGCCGGGGGACAGCTGCTCGGCGGCGGCGGTAGCGGTGGGCCCCGGAGGGCCGGGATTGAGTGTCTGCAGCAACCCCGAGGCGCAGGAAGGCGCGGCGGCCGGGTGGTGCGGGTGGTGGTGCGGGTGGTGGTGCGGGTGGTAGTCGGCGGGGCTGCTGTAGCCCATGGCAGCGGCCGGGGAGCCCCCGTTGAGGCCGTGGGCGACGGCGTTGGCTGCGGCCGCCGCGCCCCCCGGAGCGTAGCCGTTCCAGTCCTCTCGGAGCGGGGCCCCGTAGGCGGCGGGCCAGGACGGCCCCGGGGACTGCGCGCTGTCCAAGTTCGCGGCCGCGGCGGCCGCAGCCGCCACATGGTAACCGCCGTAGTCCGGGTACTGCGGGGGACTGACGAAGTTCTGCGGGGCCAGGTTGAGGCCGCCAGAGTGGCGCACGGAGCTGGGGTACATGCTCACGTCCTTGTCCAGGAGGTAGCTCACGTACATGGTGGCGAGGGCCCGACAGCAGACCTCACCATGCTGCCTGGGGACCGACGCTGGACGCTGCCGGAGGGCGCGAAGGGGAAGGGGCGAGGCGGGGTGCGGAGAAGGGCGGCCGGCTGCGCCCCAGCCCGCGGAGCTCCGCTGGCTCCTCGCGGCGCTTCTGCCTCTGAGGCGGTCCCTCCCTCTGGCCTGCCTCCTCCCTCCTCCCTTTCTTCCTTCTTTCCTCCCACCTCCTTCCCACTGGGCTGCAGAGGCGGGGAAGACCCGCCACAGGCTGGAGTGCGGAGCCCCAGGCCGGCGGCCTTTCGTGATTAACGAGTGTTTACAAGACTCTATTAGTAATGACACAGACACCAATGGCTGGAGACGTCGAGGCGCAGCGCGCACCCTGCGCACAACCCCCCGAAACACGATTTGCATTTTAAAAGATAAGGGGAGGGGGGGAGCTCCAGAGACCCGTTCACAGCTAAATATTCAAACCTTTATTGTTAAGAGCTTCCTCCTTCCAACCTGGTGCACTTTAACCTCCAATCACAGGTTCAAAGAATGAAATCAAGAGACTTGCAAAAGGGAGGGGGGAGCTATCTTGGTGGGAATCTGGGCTTGGAGACTGAGTAGTAGCGTGTATGCATTTGCGGGGTGGAAGCGGGGGTGGGGGCGCATCACTAGCTCTTTTTATACCAAAGAGAAAAGAAAAGGGAACCATTACTTTGATGACAACGTTTTTGACCAACCCGGGAGAAGACGAGCTAAGCCCTAGGAGATGGGCCAGTTCCTGTCTTCCATGAGCTCCTGGCCAGAAGGACTCCGGGCCCCAAACAACTGTCACTGCTAATCGGTTATTCTCTTCCCCCATGGAAACTGCTGCCTCTCGCAGGACATAAATTATGACCCTAGCTTCAGGCTGCATCTCCGAGTTCATCTCACATTTGGGATTTAAGTTAAATTAAGGCAATTACTTTTTTTAAAGAGCATTTATATTCAAGCATTTATATTCAAAACAGTCCTACCAAGGAGCCTGTGGTAGAAGTCAGACTAGTGGAGGGCAGTAATGAGGGGGGGCAAAATGGGGTCGCTAGAGTGCTGGGAAAGTTCTGGGTTCCTGAGCAGGGTGTTGGTGACACAGCATGTTGTCTGTGAAGATTCAGCGAACCTACAGGTACATGTTTATTTTACTGAAATCAGCGGCTAAAAATCAAGGAAAAAAGAGCCAGAATGTGTACCCTAGATATATGTCATATAATCACACCTTTGTCTTAAAAACACTTTCTGCTTTACAAAGTAAAACAGTATAGAAGGAAAATTGTCTTTCATCTCCAGGAGATGGGAAGGGAACCCGGGCTGTTCCTAATGATTGCTTCTGAACAACTTCGAGTAGGGAGGAATTGAGAAAGTCTCCTCCTTGGTTTCGAAGCACTGTGTCAAGGGGCCCGGAGCTCGGTGGCCCCTGTGGGGACCTGTGTTGCGCGGCCTGGATGGGGAACTGCCCCAACGGGAGCGCAAGAGCGAAGAGATTCGTCTTGCGCACACGCCCATCTGGGTTCAGCCGCCACAGGGAGTGAACCGCGGTAGTCTTCCAGCCCTTCTCTCCAGGCCCAGCCAGCGCTGCCAGACTAGGATCTGAGGATCGCAGCGGCCGAGTCCGTGGCCTGGGCAAGACCTCTGGGTGGCCTTGAACGGCTCTCGGAACCAGCTCATCTCCAGAGCTGCACTTGTCGATTCTCATTGTGAAGCACTCTCTGGTATTTGTCACTTCACCTTCTCATCTTTGGAGCCCTTCTTCCAGCGCTCTTTATCTCCCTTGATCCTCACGTCTCCCGAAATGGGTAACAAAGCTGGTGTTGGCCTCTCCTTTTTACAGATGACACCCACCAAAGTTGCAGACTGGAGAGAGGCCAGGCCCAAGGAGGATCTGAACTAGCCCAGGCCTGTGGGATCTCCTGCTTGCTGGTCCCTCCGGGCCTTTGCCTTTCCTAAGGAGGATGATTAAAAGTCAGGGCTCAGTGGAGGGTCAGAGAGCTGAGCACTCAAGAGGTGGGAGCCAGGAGCAGGCTCTCCATGTGGACCTTCCCACCTGGACCAGATAGCTGAGTGTCACTGGACCTCTCAAGAAATAAAATAGGAAATACATCGCATATTATACATGTGTATATATGTATATGTATAAATACATTACAGAACCCAAATCACTGAGCTGGGGGACAGGGGGAGAAAGGGGGAGTCTGTAATCCTGATGAGAATGGGCTGAGAATGTGGGAGGTTACATGGTGGGCATTGCAGACTTTTGATCTACCAAACATCTCCCTCCCCTTCCTGGAGACACAATTCCTCTTTCTGTCCCCCACAACCCCCTCCCCAGCCTCAAGCTCTGGAAGCCGAGGCCCAGGCTCAAGCCTGTGTCTTCGGAATGTGGGCATTCTTTGGAACAATCACTTTATTGGGGACAGCCATTCCCTCCGCCCTGCAGTGGCCACTTCCTGCGTTTTTATGGCTCGGCCGCCGGCCGCTGGCTAATTGTCCCGGTTTTCCAGCTGTGTCTCTGTGCTCTGCCCCCAAGAAAGGGTTCTGGCCTGCCCGCCCAAATGCTTTGGGAGAAGCCGGGGTTGCTCTGGCCCCAGGGGTCATGCCGGGCCCCAGTGCTGGCTGGACCACAGGTAAATCTGAGGCTCCTTTGGGTTGCAAGTGCTGGAGAAAAGAAATCGTGGTGAAAAAACAATTGGTTTTCTTCATGGAAAATGGGCCTGCAGGCAGTAGCTTGTACCCCCCACCCCTCCCCACCCCTGCCCCCAAGGTCCTGGATCTAGGCTGTTTGGCGAGGGAAAGGAGCCTCTACTGATGTCCTTGGACAAGCTCCTCAGATTGGAAATGTCCCTTCACATCCAGCTGCCCTCTCAAACAAGAGGCCCAGGTGGGCCCCCAGAGGTAGGGCAGCAGGAGCAGTCAGAGAGCATTGGAAGGTGGCTGGCTGCTGAGAAGGAAGCTTGCATGTGTCTTTTTGTCATGATGGCTTAGCCTCTGGTGGGTCTTTGTCAGGTGCCTACCCTCTGGAGGCCTGCTCTAGATGGGACTCTGCCAGCCTTTGGGTGCAGATGTGGGCCCTGGGAGGATGTTGGCATCACCTACACAAAGCCCCAGGGGAGAGCTTTCTCAGTCCTGGACCCAAGGTGCTTGGCAGCTTTCTTAGAACCATGTGGCCTGAGCTGAGAACTGCCTGGGATAGTCGTCCCCAATTTCTCTGCTCAAGGTTCCTTTCCAGCCAGTACCTCTGGTCTCCAACTAGCTGCCCCAGCAGAGAAGCCTTCAGCAGATTGCTCTGGAGGAGGCACTGGTGGTAAGCTAGAGGCTGGAGTTGGGCCGAGGCAGAATGTGACCCCATGGAACCAGAGCTAAAGCAAGCTTTTAAGGGTAGGAGAGGGTGGGAAGAAAGAGACCCAGGTAAATAAAGCATCAGGAATACTACAGGGCAGCCGCAACTCGGTTATCAGAGGGACGTCTCTTTGTTGCTAACATTGTAAAGGCCATTCAACATTCCTTGGAGAGGGTCAGGGCTTCCAGAATTCTGGTTGTTGGCAAGGGCAGGGGCGCCGGGCTAGGGTGGGGCGGGGGAGCTTGAGGCACAGGAAGGGGCGGGCTGCTCCTCTAGGCAGATGGGACACTCCTTGAATCCACAGATCATTGACAGGACTCTCTCCCTGCTCAAAGGTCCCCAGTGTTTGCTCCAGCTTGGGGGACCCTCCTTTCCCCTATATTTGTAGCTCCTGAAAACTGGGGCGCCTGTGATCCTTGTAACCTGGATAGGGCAGGCCATCTCTGCCCACCTTAGCGTGCTGGTCTGCTTTTGGAATCCCGTTCAGATCAAGGGAATTATCCAAATAGTGCAACATTTCTGTTCTCCCTCTCCCCCTCCGCACAGGAAACCCTCACCCTGCTCTGACCTGGATTCCCGGCATAATTAAGTAAGAGTGGGAAAGAAGAGAATGTGGTTTGATACAATTGGTCAGCTTGGCAATATACATTGCTGAGGAGATCTCTACTTAATTTGGTGTTTAAGGAGTTCTTCAGTCATTGCACCCAATTGGCAGCCCCCTGCACAAAGAAAGGCTCAATAATGGGTGGTTTGACCGCAATACCCCCTCCCCTGCCACGGCCCACTCAGCTAACATCTCTGGGAAGGAAATCGATGGCAGTGTCCTTTCTGTGGGGCGTCCCCAGAGTCCATTGCCCGCTCAGTCCCATCAGGCCACAATGGATCCCCAACGCGTTCGTTCTGAACAACAGGGAGGGCCGCAGCTGTCCACAGCTGCCCAGGCTTCCCTCACAAGAGCAGATGTCCCTTGTCCCCCTCAGAGTCAAGAATGTTCCCCCACCCACCCTCTGAGGCAAACTGAGTGTCTGGGCTTTTCTACCTGAGGAAAAGTTTCTGAATTTGTGGGAGGTCTTTAGTGGACTAGAGTTTTACCACTCAGGGGAGAGGGGGCAGGAGCACGGGGGAAATCCACTGCCTTATTTGTCTCACAGAGGAATCCAAGGCTTTCTTATTCCAAGGCAAGGAATTTACAGTTTTCATTATGCTCTTCTATCCATATTCTTGAAGCCAGGAGATTTAGGAAAAGAAAGAGCCTCAAGGGGCGGGGTGATATTTGGGTATAGAAATCCAGTTTTGCTCATTGGGTGAATATCATGAAAATAAGTGATGGTGGCCTGTTTTCATTCTTTCTTCTGAAATTAGAGTCTGTGGTCAGTGTGGGGTTATTGTATAACCCATTCTCGTTCTGTGTGACGGATGAGCACTGAGAATGATTTAAAGTCCCTCAAGGGAGGGCCTTGGGGACTCACCCCAGGAGAAAAACCCTTGATGCTGAGGAGAATCGGGCTCCCGAGCCAGCAGCAGCTAAACGTTATCACTTGGTCTTGACGTGGAAGGCCTTCAGTTACCATTTGTTCACTCACAACGTCTGTGCCTAGAGTGACCTTTGCTTATCATATGAAAATATGTTCCGAGGAAGCCCTACACAGTAGTCTTTATGAGGCTGAGGGAAGGGGCTCAGATAAGGTTCAGCTCTCCTTGAGTCACTGGGAAGCTACTCACCCTGGAGGGGAGACGGGGACTTACTGTTTGTGCCGCACTTCCACTTTATAGGGGAGAAATCCGAGGCTCAGAGAGGTTGGGCGACTTTCCCAAGGTCACACAGCTAGCTGTTCCAGCCACTAAAACTAAATGAGCTACTATAGGTACATTGGAACCCATAAGACTCTGTATGGATGTTAATTATTACTAAGGTTGCTGGTGCCACCCTGGAAACACAAAACCAACTAGACGATTCCCGGAATCCAAACTCCCCACTCCCACCCCCACACCCCCCACACCAAATAGTACCAGAACAATCAGGTTCTGCTGTTGCAACATTTCAGACTACTTCCCGCATCCCACTTATTTCTCTTTTATTCTCTCTTTCACAGGCACCTGCTAACTGCTGTTTATTAGTTTATTGAATGGCCAATTTTCCATAAATTCCATCCCAAGTTTTCCACCAGTTACCAAAGAAGGTCTTTATCTACTCCTGTCCTACAGTACATACTTTCTAAAAAGAGCTCTTTATTTTTGAACTGGAATTGACATCCTAAGGCTGATCTCTGGAAGTGTGTCAAATTTAAAATGAATAAAGAAATTTATGCAAAGAAATTGTCTTGTCCTTTCCCCCCTTTCTCTTCTTCCCATGCCCGTGTCTGTGGACATCTTTTGGACACACAGACCAAAAAGCCGGCGTCTCTGGGCAAATTAAAGCAGACCCCTCCCCAATTTGGTTTCTCAGTTACACATGTGAATGCCAAGCTGGGATTGGGCTCGTGGATTCCTAGCGGGAGCGCTCTCGGTCTTTTTGCTCAGAGAACACGCGGGGTTGGGGTTGGACATTTTAAGAGGGGGGTGAAAATTGGCAAAGCAGTACCAGCACCTGGGAAGGGAGCGTGCTTGGAAGGGCTGCAGGGTTAGGGGACCGGAAGCAGCTCCTCGCCTTCCAACTATTTTTTACATTGCTATTGTGTTTGTGTGTTAACGAATTAGTAAGTAAAATATTAAATTATCCACCCTAGAATCTGCACCAACAACTCTGGAACCCCAGATGCCCAACGCTCTCAGGCCTCCCGCTGCCTGTGCTGGTGCACACACATGAAGGCCTCAGACAGTGGCTCTTGGTCTCTGCCATCCGGGTTTATCTCCCGCCTCTTGCGCAGGGCAGCACGGAAACGAAAAAACGGCTCCGCCAGGCCAAGGCCAGCACAAGCCCAGGGTGTGTTGCTGTGTGAGTCCACAGAAAACTGCTCTCCCAGACTTTGGAAGCCACAGGTGACCCGCTCCCACAAGACCCGGCCTCGGGCTCTTTGCTCCTACTGGAGAAAAAAAAGCCAGAACTGCCAGTTGTATTTGCCAGGGCCCTTGCCAGCCTGGCGCCTATGTCCCGCGTCCTGCGTCTGCCTGCAAGGCTATAAGAGCTCAGGAGTCTTGGCCAGAGGAACCTCCCGGCTCCTTTCAGGGGTGGATCCAGGGTCTCCCCCTAAGGAACTTCCTCCTGCAGAAAGAAACAATTTCGGGCAAGCTTTGAAATGTAACTGCGTGACTGAGGACAGGCTGGCTCCACCTGAGAGGTCCAGATCTCCTGGGCACTCAGTCTACAATTGTAGCTGGAAGGTCATCCCCCCACCTTCCAAGCCTGGCTGTTTTAGGTCGAGCCCATTTACAGGGACAGTCCAGACTCTGCAGTGGGGGGCCATCCATCTAAGCAGGACTTATCCTAGGGTTGGACAGGGTGGCTTGAATATAGTGGATTAGTGTGTCTCAGACCCAGTCTGTAGCACTTGTATCCTAGGCCCCCAAGTTACCCATCTAAAGTGAAGCAGGATTCTAGCCCTAGGCCTAAGGGGCCCACCGTGGCCTTGGGGGTCCTAGAACACAGCAACTGAGTCATCAAGTTGCCTTTGTAGTGTACACCTGGTGCTCTTGCTTCTGGAGAAGGCCTCTGGCACAGGCCTAGGCCAGCCAGGTCCTGGCATTAATCTATAGGGATGTGGGTAGCCACAGCTCACTGCCCTGGCACCCCCACCTAACCCCATCACCAGCTTCAATCTTCCCCCCTTACCTCTAGCAGAGAACACCTGTACAGTGGGAAAGGAGGGATGGAGGTTCCCTGTTTGAAATACCTGGTGTGGTCAGAGCGGCTTCTTTCTGTGGGATTCAGCCCCCCCAACCGAGGTGTGGCCATACTTTTTGTGAAAAGAAGATTTTCTTGCTGCTGTTGCTGCTGCTACTCTGGGCCTGGGATGGTCCCTAATGGAGGTTCCAGACTTCAAAAGGGCCTTCACTTCTTACCACGTCTGCATCTAGGAGGGCGGGTATGGCTTGTTTCTCCTGTGCCAACAGAAACCAGTCGTGTTGTTGGGGTCAGACAAACCCTCCAGTGTGTGGTGAGAACCCACGCTCCCCTGAGAGAGAGAATGTGTGAGATGAACCCCTTCTGCATGAGTGGACATTCTGGCTCAAAGGGCAGACAGCTCTGGAGTCCCAGGGTTGGTAACTTCCCCAGAAACGGCCTACGCGGGCCAGAAAGATCGCAATGGGCACCATTTTCCTCATTACCTGCTTTATCAGCGCTGTGGGGGGTGGTTTTATCTTCACCTTGGGGGCCAGAATATCCAGTGAGTATTATTAAATAATAATTATTTTATTATTAACTTTTAATGACCGATGGCTCTCCCTGGGCAGCCTGAAGTTCTGACGACCCAACTCTCAAGGGACGACCTTTGGGAGAGTCAGGGGTGGAGGGAAGATCTCTGGAAGAGGCGGAGAGGCCGCCTGCCCCTGACTTTCAGGCCCGTCCAGCTTGGAGACACCCCCACTCCCACCCCTCTTTCAAGAGTGCCTGTGGCAGCTACTCCGCCTGCCCCCACGGGGCGCCTTCCCAACGTTGGCCCGTCGCGAGGCTCCCATTCGCCCACGGACCCCCCACCCGCGGCTTGCCTGGCGCGGAGGACCCAAATCAGTACCTCGCTCTCCTCGCCCGGGCTCCTGGCTCCCGTAGGCGCCCCAGAGGGAGAAAACTACTTCTGCTCACATGTTAATGTCGGTACGGCAAAAGAGGTGGGGAAGAAAAAAAAAACAAAGCGCTGTGGAATAAAAAGATGCCTTTTCCTCCCGTTTTGCTTTGCAGCTCGGGCTTAGCGGGAGAAGATGCGGACCCAAGAGCTGGATAAGCGCTTTGGAATCCACAAAGGCTGGTGGTGTCAACGGGCTGCAAAGGGAGTGAAGAATTGAAGCAGTGAGCTGGATAAATCGGGGCCAAAGCACGAACCTCTACAGAGATTTTGGCAAAGCGTGCACGTGTGGGTGGTGGACAAAAGGGCTCATTATTCGTGCGGTGGCTTCAGCTCTCCCCTCCCTCTGCGCGCATGTTGGACGCCGTTCCCGGCCCGCGCCAGCTCCCGTCCCCGCGCGTCCGGACGTGCGCCCCGGGTCCCGGGCTCGCGCAGCCGCTACAGTCAGGTTTGCTCCGCGCCCAGGAGGTCGGCGAGACGCAGGTGGCCGATCTTCTTCACCTCGCCTAGGGCGGTGCGCAGCTCCTGCGCGGGCTGGCAGTGCAGCCTGCGCGCCAGCTCCCGCGGCACTGCCGCCCTGTCGCTCAGGCGCGCGGCGAGCACGAAGGGGAAGCCGAAGCGCGCGCGGTACTGCGCGTTGAGCTCCGCCAGCCGGAGCCGCTCGTCGGCGTTCAGGCTCGTCAGGCCCGCGCCTCTCTGCTCCCTCTGCGACTCGGCGGTGAGCGTGCCCCGCTGCAGCTCGCGGCCCGCCAGGTCCGGGTGGCAGCGCAGGATGCCCTCTTGGCCTGCAGGAAAGCACAGACACGCGACGGGAACACGTTACCCAGCGCGCGCGGCGGAGAGGGCGCACGGGGCTGCGGGCCGCCCGAGCCCGGGCGCCTGCCCCGCCCGAATAGGGCTTCGCCAGGGAAGCCGGGTCTTCAGGAGGTGACGACGGGCAGCAAGGGGTGTCCTGGAAGTGCAGGGGTGCCCACGGCCACCGCCCCTCAAACACGTCCCCAACCTTGCGCCCGTCCGTCCCAGCTTCAGGGGCCTCGGCCTGGACCCAGGGGCGGGGCGGGAAGTGACAAGTTTGTCCTTTGAGACCTTGGGGCAAGAAGAGCGGAGGGGAGAGGCCACTGGGGCTCGGAATTTACGACTTGCTCGGGAGGGAGCAGGGACGCGATAAGGAGACCGAGCATTTCGTATCTTTTCAAAGTCCTTTGCTCTCAAGGGGGCTTTGATGTCTCAGAGGGCCGGACACGAGGGCCTGAAGACTTCCTGCAAAAGCCACAGAATGGGTTTCGTTCTGTTCCAAAGGAGAAGGGCGGGGAGGGTCCAGAGGGATAACATCCACGGGTCTTGGCCAATAAATCTCCAGGATTTTGTGATCCTAAGTGTGAGTTTTGGGCTTCTGGAATCAAGCATCCAAAGAAGCTTACAGATGATTAAGTGTAAAGAAACCCATTTCCAGCCGGAATTCCACAGCCCTTTGAATGAAAGTGACTTTCTTCCTTTTAGGAAAATAACACCCACTCATCACCCACCCTGCCTGAGGCTCCTTCCCCTTCTCCAACTGTAGGTTCCAAAGACACTGCAGACTGCCTTGGAGTTTTCTTGGGAGACAGTTTCTCATAATCTCCTAGGCCTAAAATTGGAAATCCCTGGTGACTGACACCTGAGATTTTAAATCCGAATCCAGGGAGTTTCCCTGAGCCCCGGCCAGCCATTTTGCTTAGCTCTCTAGAGAGAATTCGAATGGTCAAGGCTGGGCAGGATTTCAGATATGGTCAGCAGACGGCCATAATCTGTACAATGAGGATAATGACATCTAACTTGCAGAGGAGCTGTGAGCATTAGAGACAATTCATTTCCCTAAAACACAGTGCCTGGGTCCCTGGGTGGCTTAGTGGGTTAAGCCCCTGCCTTCAGCTCAGGTCATGATCTCAGGGTCCTGGGATCCAGGCTCGCATAGGGCTCTCTGCTCAGTGGCGAGCCTGCTTCCTCAGCTCTCTCTCTGCCTGTCTCTATCCTTACTTGGTGATCTCTCTTTATTTAAATTTAAATGTGATATCTTTTATTTAAATAAATAAAATCTTTAAAAAACACACACACACACACACAGTGCCTAATGCTAGCAAACATCCAATAAACAGCCATTATTAGAAGTCGTAGTAAACACTGTAATGGGACTGTGGTGCAATTGGGAGTATCCAACTGTGGCCCTGGGATTAGCCATGAGCTCTGTTGGAAAGGAAGATCACTTAAAACTTGCTTTAGTTACGGTGTAAACCTCCCAGTACTCAAACCTGGTAGTTTCTGCCCAATTAAACGATGATTGGTATGGCACCACCTAACTCTTAGACAGCGGCCAGGTAGGGATAACTGGGGTGGGGACATCTGTATTTAGGAAAGCATTCAGTGAAAGTTCCGATGGGATTAGGTGACCTACCCAAGGTCGCTTAGTAGCTCAAATGCCAGGCGATTTGGGGGCACTGGCTGCCCCTACGAGGCTAAGGGGCGCTTATTTAAATGAAACTTGTGTCGCCAATTCTCCCATCTTTCTAACACCACTGTTTTAGATCCCTTCTCAGGAGCCCTATCCCTGGGACGCTGCAAATGCCAGGTGGTTCTTTTCCATTTTCTGCGTCCAGCCCGGTCCGGGTGGGGCGAAAATGAAGGTGTTAAATTCCCTACCTGCACTCCCGGCCCCAAACACTGGCCCTGGAGCTTGGCTGTGCCCAGCGGACACCTGCCACGCAGAATCTACTCTGCACCCACCCAGCCCTGGGCCTGGCAAACGGCAGGCTGGGAATGGGGAAACAGAAACAGAGTCGTGCATGGCTCTGCAAGTTCGGACCCTGACGGCTCCCCCTGGCTCTCCTCCTTGCATATTCAGGTTTTCAAGGCAGCCTGTAGACAGGAGGGCCGTGTGTGTGTGTGTGTGTGTGTGTGTGTGTGTGTGTGTGTGTGTTGGGGAGGTCTGGTTGACAGTCAGTATTCTCACCGACTCCCCTTCTCTCAGCTTCCCTTCCCCCCTTATTTCTTATTCTCTAGAGACCTAACTGGAGCTTGGGGGAAGTAGTTAGCTATTGGGTGGCGCCTGCATGGGGGTCCTTCCCCAGCGGACTCCGCTAGCTGACCACAGAGCAGAGAGAGGTAGAGGTGCAGCAGGGCTGGTCCCTCTTTCCTTTTTGCTTTCACACCTCGCTTCTCACTCCCCTGGGTTCGATTCCCCTCTTGAAAATGCAGCCTGGGGTTAATGTTTGCCCAGGATCCAGCCTGTGTTTTACACTGTTTGCAGGGAGGAGTGGGAGAAGAGGAGAGAAGGGAGGCCCAGAAAAGGGCAGAGCAAAGAGAAGAAGAAAACACACACACACACACACGCACACGCACACGCACACGCACACACAAACACACACAGAGCTGCAGATAAAGAGAAAGGTACAGGGAGTCCCTTAGAGGATGGCAGCTCAGAAAAAAAGGGAACCTGATCCCATCCAACCAAAGACTCTTCCTTTATTGCCCCACACGGCTGACCCCATGAGCACTCTCCCCACCCTCGTTGGGGGGGGGGCGGGCCCAGCTCAGTGGAGTATCCTGTGCTTCTCAGGATCATGTCAATGCTGCCTAATCTTCAGTCTTTCTTAAAATCCTACTGCCTGTGCCACTGCCTTGTCACACGTATGTAGACATGTAATATTTGCTACGACCACAAGTCACGAATCTTTGCATCTAGGAGAGTTCCTGGCGCAGAGCTCATTCTATTTCAACAGGAGAACGGCACAGGCAACGGTGGCCACTGCGGAAGAGGCAATTGGCTTAGAACCCCATTCCAGTCCACCAGAGTCCCTACATCAGTAGGAACTAGCGTGTTCTCCCTCCTGGCACAATGGATCATCTGTCCCTTCTGTTGTGTTCCTGAAGACAGCCCTGATTTCCTTCCTTCCTTCCTTCCTTCCTTCCTTCCTTCCTTCCTTCCTTCCTTCCTTCCTTCTTTCCTTCATTCTCTCCTTCCTTCCTTTCTTTCTAAAAAGATTTTTTTTGACAGAGACACAGTGAGAGAGGGAATACAAGCAGGGGGAGTGGGAGAAGGAGAAGCAGGCCTCCCGCTGAGCAAGAAGCCCCGATGTGGGGCTCGATCCCAGGACCCTGTGATCGTGACCTGAGCCAAAGGCAAAGGACTAAGCCACCCAGGCGCCCCCAAGCCCTTCTTTTCATCTCAAGACTCCAATTTCAAACATCCAGTTCTCCTCCCCACCTCTCTGTTATCCTCATCAACAGACAAACATGCCTTAGAATCACCCATTCCATCAAGAAAAGTAAAACCCACCTTTGATTCCCTATTGTCCTCTAGTTTCTTTCTATATCGCTGCTCCTCCTTACAGTGAACTCCTCAAAGGAGTTGTCTACTCAGTGTTCCCCGCTTTCTCACCTCTATTTCACGTTCATTCTGTTATGCTTTCAGCCCCGCCCGCTAGCCAATGGACACTCATCAGGGCCACAGATGATGGACATCTTGCCCAAGCCCCATGACCAGTGCCCGGTCTTCTTCCTCAGCCTCTGGAGAGAATGTCACATGCTCGTTCCTCTCTCCTTCTTAAAAGATTACCAGCGCTTGCCTCCTTTCTTCACTGGTTCTTGCTTTGCCAGATCACTAACAAGGAAGTACCCCAGGACTCAGTACTTACCTGTCTTCCCTTCTGTATTTACACTGATGCCCAGGTGTTCTCACTGAATTCTATATCTTTAAATGTCATCAGTTTTTGGTGTTTTTTTTTTTTAAGGATTTCATTTCTTTATTTGAGAGAGAGAGAAGGAGAAAGAGAGTGAGAGAATGAGGTAGGGGGAGGGGCAGACAGAGAGAGAGAGAAGCAGGCTCCCCATAAGCAGGGAGCCCACCATCAGGAAGGCCCTCAGTTTTGTTTTTTTAACGACACCCAGTTCCAGTCCAGCCTACAGCTTGCTAATGAGTCCCTGTGTTACAATTCATAGGGACACTCCATATTTTCATTTGGATGATTATTAGGCACCTCAGACATAACAAGCTCCCATTTTCTACCTTGTCTTCTCAATTGTAAAGTTTTCCCCATTGTAGAAAACAACACCACTGCCCATCCAGTTACTCAGATTAAAAATTTAAATTACCCTTAATTTCTCTTTGTTTTCCACCTGTCTTCCCCCCAAATCCATTAAAAAAAAACAACTATTGAGGGGCGATTGGGTAGTGAAGTTGGTTAAACGTCTGCAGACTCTTGGTTTCAGCTCAGGTCCTGGTCTCAGGGTCCTGAAATACAGCAGCCCCCCTCCCCAGTCAGACCCCACACTCAGTGGGGAGTCTGCCTGAGACTCCATCTCCCTTTGCCCCTCCTCCCATTCACTCTCTCTCAAAAATAAATAAATACACATTTAAAAAACTGCAAATCTAACTCTAAAATGTATTCTGAGAACCCAGTCACATCTCTCCATCTCTCCTGCTCCAACCTTAGTTCAAATGAGCATCTCCCCTCACTTTTACTACCTCCTCAGGCCCTCTACCTGACCTCTCTTTCCTTATATCTCTCCACTTTTCACTATTCTCCCCACATTGTGGGCTTTCTGTGCTCCCGAAATGCCAAAAGTTTTAAGTTCCTTTTCTCAGATGGCCTTCTCCTGGATCTTAGACTGCTTCCTTCTCATCTTTCAGTCGTCTTAAACTCAAATGTCACTTCCTAAGAATGACCTATTTTATTACATACTTTCTTCTAATAGTTCCTAGAATGTGAAAGTATCTCACTTATTCATGTTAATCCTGTCTCTCTTTACTAGTATGTAAACTCATTGAAGGCAGGCACTTGTCTTGTTCACTGCTCTGTCCCCAGGGCCTAGTACAATTCCTGGGGCACAGTGGGCACCTGACCAACACATCACTTTCAGGAAGGAGTGCTATATGTTTTTTTGATTGAACACCCTTTAATAATCTCTTCTAAGTACCTTATAATCTGCATTTCAGGGAATTATGAGTATCTTTCCTATTCATTCAACAACTATGAAATATGTATTAAGTAATAAATTATGGAACGATTGCAATTTTGAAATATAACAAGGAGATACACGATTAACCCTATGTTATGAGAGGGTTTTTTTCCTCTTTGATTTTTAACACAAATCAATACTGAATTGGTTTGTTATTGGCTGTGTGTGTTTGTGTGTGTGTGAGGGTAGGTGTGTATGGGTAGGTGTTTCAACCATCTTCCCTTTACTTTTGCCGTGCCCCTTGCCTGGAAATGAGGAACTGATTGGCTCAGAGTACTTTGCCAATAGAGCTAGAGCTGAATATTAATCCTGGACTGCCACCTACTGACCAATAATCATCATAGTACAATGGAAATAGATTGTCAACCTTGGTTTACTCTAGAAACAAGATTTTCATTTCCACTAATGGTAGACGGTTTTCTTTCTTTCTTTCTTTCTTTCTTTCTTTCTTTCTTTCTTTCTTTCTTCTTTCTTTCAGATTTTATTTACTTATTTGACAGAGATCACAATTAGGCAGAGAGGTAGGCGGGGGAAGGGGGGAAGCAGGCTTCCTGCTGAGCAAAGAGCCTGATGCGGGGCTTGATCCCAGGACCCTGAGACCATGACCTGAGCTGAAGGCAGAGGCTTAACGCACTGAGTCACCCAGGTGCCCCGTAGACAGTTTTCTTAGATCACGTATAAAACAAAGTCTTGACCAAGTAGATTACCGTAACCCGAACTTTTCTTTAAGGTGCCTTTTAGCTTTAGGATTCAAAGACTATTACACCCAGTTTGTTCCCAATCATGCAAAGATTAAAGCTAGACTAGTCAGTAAATCCTATTTTATTTGCTTATTTAAACAGCTGAACATAGTGTCTGGGACATCGGGCATTAATGTTAATTGAATAAATTACTGAACGAATAGACGTAACCCCTAGAAAATGCTTCTAGCTGTTCCTCCCTGATTCTCTAAAAATGCTGCAAAAGCTGTTGGGTTGACTATCAGCGTTCTGAATTCCAGTTCTGCCACTTTCTAATTGTATGTTCTTCTGACCAAGTTATTTAATCTCTCTGTGCCTCAGTTTTCATCTGTAAAATGGGTATAATAATAATACTTGCTTTATAAGATTGTTACAAGGATTCAATGAGTTGACAAATGCAAAGTGCTGAGAAAAGTGCCTGAAACACACCAATAGTAAGGGTGAAATGCATTGTAGCTATTGTTATTATTAGTTGCTTATCTAACAACATCAGCGGCAGCGACCTTGTCAGTGTGACCACACATACGGCATTGAAGCTCTGCTCCCAGCTGTCTGAGAGAGTGTGGACGCTGGCTTAGGGCTGAGAAGCAGCCCACAGGAAGTCCCTCCACAGAACAGCATCTAGTCCAGAAGTGAACAACCCTCCAGTTTCCTCTGGGCATTTTGTCCCACGGACTTGCCACTAAAGTCACTCCAGGGAAAATGTGTGGGGACAGGGTAATACCAGGAACCATCATCTTTGAAAATCATTTCATGATCTCACCTTCTAAATCATTTCATGCATTTAAATCTTTATTAAGTCCCAGTATCCTACTCACTGAATGATGTAAGATCCTGACACTGACTGGAATACAGAGTTCCTGTTGAGTTAGGAGAAGGATCAAAAACAAGCCTCGGGAGAGAGGGAGTGAATGCCAATCCCCAAATCCCACTTTGCTCAGGATTGTGATTGGATTTAACCTTAACTAGACCTTTTTTTCTCTTTTTTTAAGATTTTGTTATTTATTTGACACAGAGAGAGAGACAGCAAAAGAGGGAACACAAGCAGGGGAAATGGGAGAGAGAGAAGCAGGCTTCCCGCAGAGTAGGAAGCCTGATGTGGGGCTCCATCCCAGGACCCTGGGATCATGACCTGAGCCGAAGGCAGGTGCTTATCAACTGAGCCACCCAGGCACCCCTTAACTAGACCTTACCCAGAACCTCTGCTCAAACCTATCAGGGTGACTGCTGGTGGGAAAGAAGACAGAAATAGGGAAGTTTTAATTTTATTATCTAAGTTTCTGGCACAGTAAACTCTAAATAAATCTCGAGTAACTGGATAAACCAGTGAATACTGGATTTAAATTATCCATGTAATACCTTCCCTCCCCAGCCCCATCACCCAGCCCCATCATCCCTGGTGTATTAAGACAGATAATGGGATTTTTCTCCCTTTTATTTTTAACGTGATAGAAAAAAATGCTATTCATAAGGCATTCACACCCTTTAAAAATTATTTCCCTCTGGCCTAGAAGGCTTTCATTTGACCCACATTTTCCTGTCAGACATTTTGAACACGGGTTCTGGTGAACATGGTGAACATGAACATGGGTTCTTGCTCTTTCCAGCTCACTCTGTAGGCTGTGGGCCGACAAGGGGAACCCCTTCCCTCCTCAAGCCAGGGCTGAACATTCCTGTGAGTCATCAGTCACAAGGCTCTGGTGTCCATCAGCCTCATTAATGTCTGAGCTCAGTGGCAGAGCTGAGAAAGGCCCTGAGAACTGGGTGACTGCCAACATAGTCCTGATATTTCTGTCAGTTTGATTTTCTAACACCTTCCTCCCCTTTTGCTAAATGTGCCTAAAATAAATTAAAATGAGTTCCTTCTTTGGGAGACATTCATCTGACAATTGGAAACCATCCTGAATATCAAACTCTGGATGGGTAGGCAAGAGTTCTGTTTCTTGGCCTTGTAATGGTGGAGAAGAGAGTGGCCATTCTCCCCCCAACCCCTCCACACACAGACCGGATTTCTGTAGAAGGCCCTTCTGTGAAGGCAGCCCTTGCCCCTCATCTCCCTTCGGGCTTTTCTGAAGACACTGGACAGCCCAGTAAGTGGGCTCTAATCCTGGGCCTCTGAATCTTTGTGAGGCCATGTGTCATTCTGAGTCACTTGGGGTTAGAATAAACCTCCACCCCCGCCTCTCCTCACCCCACACCCAGAAGTGTCTCCTTTTCTCTCTCTACCCAGAGGAAATCAACAATTTCTTTCCCTTTTTCCAGAGGAATTCCTTCAGATTTTTGTCTTTTTCCCTTCACTCCCTCAGGGAGTTGCTGATCTGAATGAGTTTACTTTCCTTGGCGGTCCAGTCCAAACTGGCCCTTTCTGGTAAAAATGTCAGCCATCTGCTCTTTCCCCTGGGCTCCTGAGATATTCTGATACTGTACTGTCTCCTCTCCTGCATACAGGACATTCCCAAAGTGAACACACTTGGCTAAGAGAGGGTGGGCCCTCCGCCTGACCTTTGGCCTCTGAGCGACTGGGAGGCCTGAGGAAACAAGTGCCTGTTCCTCTTCCCTCTTGACCTCATAGCTTTTTAATATTTAACAGCTCCTTTACCTGAGCCAACATATGTCTCTTTTTCTAAAAATTTAATACGATTTAAAAAAAAATAGACTCCATGCCCAGTGTGGAGCCCAACAAGGGGCTAGAACTCATGACCCTGAGATCACGACCTGAGTTGAGACCAACATACATCTTTAATTCCACTTTTGGCCTAACACCTTGCAAGTGTCTGACTCGCATTTACTAAGTCTGAGGAAAGTAAACCTTACAATAAAAAGTGTTGATCAGCGATAAACAACTAGGCTGAAACATATAAAAATATTTTGAGGGGCGCCTGGGTGGCTCAGTGGGTTAAGCCTCTGCCTTCAGCTCAGGTCATGATCTCGGGGTCCTGAGATCAGCCCCGCATCGGGCTCTCTGCTTAGCAGGGAGCCTGCTTCCCCATCTCTCTCTGTCTGCCTCTCTGCCTACTTGTGATCTTTCTCTCTGTCAAATAAATAAATAAAATCTTTAAAAAAAGATAAAAATATTTTGATAAGCATAGAGATTCTCAGAGTCTAATGCCGAAGCCTTACCTGACTGCGGAAGGTCGTCAATGAAGGCAAAGAAGTGCTTCTCTAAATCTTCCAAGTTGGAGAACGGGCGCTGAGACCAAACAGCAGCGGCAATCAGAGGACACCTCTCAATGACATTCCCAAACACATCCACAAATTCCCCAAAGTCCATGGAGTTGACCTTCTCAATGTCCATTGCTTGCATTCAACCTGAGGCCGCAGAACGGCAGCTCCCCTCTCGAAAGCGGGTGACCCTGGCTCTGCTCGCCAGCTTATATTTGCTGAATGCGCAAGCTTTTTTTTTTTTTTTTTAATGCAACACCAGCTTGGCATGTTTTGAATGCCTCTGGCAGGAGTAGATCCACAATCCTTGTGTAATGAGCAAACTGAGGCTAACGTTCTAATCCGGGGAGTGGAGATCTCTATATGGGAAACGTTTCTCACCAAATTGTTCCCACCAAGCCGGAAGGGACCCTATTTCACTGTGGGCATTCAAGCCAGAGACATTTTTGGTGTCATTAACGTTTTAATGTCAAGGGTATCTCAGGAAGTTTTGTCTGATAACGCAAAGACAGGTCACAAGTCCACCTGCCTAATATGTGACTTCCCATCGGTTGCTGCTAGAGAGGTCAGATCGTGTGTTTTATCTTTTCTCTGTATCTCAGATGCTTAACATGACAGGTACTTCATAAATGCTCATTACACAGGATGTGCCATCTAAGAGATAATGGTGTCCCCTTTTCAGTTGTCTCTAGACACCATTACGTGTTAGTTTCTTCCTGAATATATATACAAACATATCTGAAATCACCTTGCTTAATGTATTTACTTATTTGCATATCATCTCTCAGTCCCGACTAATTCCATGAGCCTGGAGACGGTGTGTCTTGTTTGCCTCTGTGTCCTGGGTGCCTAGAACCGTGCCCACGGTAGGTACCCACTGAACATGGGGTGACTTAGTTGACCAAATGACCACAAAGATTTAATTTCTCACTCTAATAGCTTTCATGTGTACTCAAAACAAAAGATACCATGGAAGATAAAGTAAAAAAAAAAAAAAAAAAAAAAGAAGGGGTCAAAATTTTAAAATAAATTGCTGCTGTTTCCCTTTAGAACAAAAAAAAATGCTAAATGCAAACATATTTGTGAAAGTCATAGTAGCTACATGTTTGCCTCCATTGGAGTCAAAACTCAAGGGCAGAGTGGCCAACTTAGCTTTAATAAGTCAACTACATTGTCCACTGTGGTTGATGAGAGCCGGGTGACAATAGTGCCCTTGACCATCTTTCAGTAGTCATGGAATTTGTCCTCATTCTGTTTGTAGACATTGTCCAGCCCAGGTTCCCTCTGACTACCTGACAGAGGGACCAAGAATTCGTCTCTTGAAAAGAAGCTGGTAAGGTTTGCGTTTGTAAGAAGTAAATCCAGTGACTGGAGACTGCCATTACTGGCTTGTCTTCACAGAAGTTAACACGGATATATAATGTACCATGTATTTGGGAAAACACATAGAATCCCCTAGTGTGTACATGGTTTGGGGTGTAGAACTCAGTGTGGAGAGCACAGACCCAGGAGAGTCCTGATCCTGCCTCTGTCACTGATCAGACATTTGGCAAGTGATCAAACTTTCTGTTCTTCAGTTTCTTTGTAAAATGGGGATAATGATATATTTACCTTGTGGGATTTGGGGAAAGATTAGTGACTACAGAAGTACAGAAAACAGCTCCTTTACAGAGCTCTACATGGGCTAATGTTTTCTGTATACAATCTCTCCGTTGGACCAACCACAGAATTTTCTCCTTTATCCTTTCTGCCATTAGAGCTTTTTCCTTGTGCATGCGGACTTTGCTGCAGACCCAGCTAATAGCTCAATATCCATTTCTTCCCCTTCTTGAGGACACCACCGCCCTGAGCCTCGGTTCACTCTAGCATGACCTGTGCAGCATCTGCAATGTCCAAATAAGACTGTGGGGAGATAAGACTGAGGGGGAGTCTGGCTGGATCCCCACGACTGGTCTGTCCAGGCTCTCCAGCCTTATTACCACCCTCATTCCTGGAATCTGGGAAAAGAAGGTAGCCCAGAAGCCAAGAAAGAAGACCATCCTGGGTCCCTGGTTCTTTGTCCCCCACCCCTCAGGCCTGACCCCTTACTATTTCCTGCTCTTATCTCTGCACACTGAGGGTCTCCCTACCTGCAAAGGAGCTCCTGCCTGGGGCATGGAGCCTGGGGGTTCTCAGTTCCTCTGAGAACAGCAGGAGATAGACATCTGAATTTGCAAGTAGAAACTCCATCCTCTCATGGCAATGCTGATACACAAGGATGGAAAGGACCTCCCTGCTGATATTGCTACCTTTCTGGCACAGACTAGACACTGAAACTTCTATTTTGCTCTATCTATTGTATAATAATGAAACTCCAAATTACCTACTAACATTCGAACTTCGAGACACAGAAAAGTTAAGGAATTAAATAATCATGGACATAAAAACATATGGACAACAACAAAATACAAATTACTAATGTGGAACTCAGCAGCTCATGCCGCTGGGCTTAACTCAGCACTCTGGGCTTCACCTCTGTTGACCCTCACCGATCAAATCAATCAAAGAAATGGCAAGTGGTCAGAAGGTAAGGCAATTTGCAGCTGAGCATAAAGCCAATGTATTGAACAGTACACCATATAGAGGGGGATTGTGTGGTATACAAATTATATATCAATAAAGCTTTTTAAAAAAGTGCAATGAGGGGGACCTGGGTGGCTCAGTGGTTAAGCATCTATCTTAGGTTCAGGTCATGATCCCAGGGTCCTGGGATCGTGCCCACATCTGGCTCCCTGCTCAGCAGGGATCCTGCTTCTCCCTCTGCCACTCCCCCTGCTTGTTTTCCCTCTCTTGGTGTCTCTCTCTCTGTCAAATATATGAAATCTTTTTTTTTTTAAAAGATTTTATTTATTTATTTGCCAGAGATCACAAGTAGGCAGAGAGGCAGGCAAGAGAGGAGGAAGCAGGCTTCCTGCACAGCAAGGAGCCCGATGCGGGGCTCGATTCCAGGATCTTGGAATCATGACCTAAGCCGAAGGCAGATGCTTAATGACTGAGCCACCCAGGCAGCCCAGTGTGGCGTTTTTAGGTGATAATTCCCCCTCACCTTCTTTTCTGTTGCTTAGGGTCATGGTGGCATAGACAGAAGCAAATTTGAACGCTGATAGGTAATTTATTTTTTACAGAAATGACAGTGGGAGTGGCAAAGGGGTTCGGATAATCATGTCACTGGGAAAGTCCCTTCTTGAAGAGGAAGATCAGGAAGAAACACAAGTGGCAGAGGTGGGTGAAGGAGGGACAAAAGGTGGATAATCGAAGGGCTGGAACTTTGATAAGAGGTCACCCAGGACATCTTCCTGCTGCAGGCCAAACACCCCTGGCTGTTTTCCTTACTCCAAAAGATCTTTGAGAAAAAGACTCTGTTTTCAACTGGAAGCCAGTCCAGGCTCAGGCAACACTATGCATAGAAAGTGTTCCAAAAAGAATAAGCTCCAAAGTCAGTCCCCTGTGCTGGTAAATGTGCTGTGCAGAATCGAATGGTAAAAACTGAGTTCCATAAAGAAACTGACAGACTTCTCTGTTAATGTGGAGAATGTGAAAATAATGTGCGTAAAATGCGCAACCGTTATCATAGTCAAGAAATAACCAGGTACTGAATAAATGAATTTAAGTGATCTGTGTAGAGGATTGTTCTTCCTTCTAATTAACAGACTGGCCTTTTCTTTATTCTGCTTGTTAAAATTTGCCTTTCCAGAGGCAGGGTGTAGGAATGAAGTCCAGCCCCCTGCTCGGGGTTAATTAAAAACACAGTAGTCCTAGGGCGCCACCTACTGGTCATATGGAAGGGACTGCACGCAGTAGCAAGAACACATCTCTAAAATCAGTGCTTGTAAGTTGTGTTTTTCCACGTGGTAACAATGTGTGGTTTGGGGCGCCGGAATGGCTTAGTCAGATTACTTAAATAAATAAAACCTAAAAGAAATTTAAAAAATTAAGATTTAGTTTTTATGTGATCTCTACACTCAACGTGGGCCTTGAACTCACACCCCATGGTCAAGAGTCGCTAGCGCTTCTGACTGAGCCACCCAGGAGACCCCAAAATAAAATCTTAAAAAAAAAAAATGTGTAGTTAAGTCAGAGACACAACTTGACCTACACTAATACCGGATCTGTGATAAGAGATAGGTTTAGTAGGGTCTAATTCTGTTTTCCCCAATACAGTTTTTTAAATGCCTTCCTTCCTCAGAGAATGTTGCCTTTTAAATATCACATTATCATTTTTGATATTTAAATATCATATTATCATTCAGCCCCAGTGGTGGTCCCAGAGTCATCAGACTCTCTGCTCGGCAGGGAGCCTGCTTCCCCTTCTCTCTCTCTGCCTGCCTCTCTGCCTACTTGTGATCTCTGTCAAATAAATAAATAAAATCTTTAAAAACAAATAAATAAATAAATGTCATATTTGGGTGAGTTGGGGGAAGTTGGGGGGGAATTGGAGGGGGAGACAAACCATGAGAGACTGTGGACTCTGAGAAACAAATTGAGGGTTTGGGAGGGAAGGGGGGTGAGGGGTTGGGTGAGCCTGGTGGGTGGCTATTATGGAGGGCATGTATTTTTTTTATTAAAGATTTTATTTATTTATTTGACAGACAGAGATCACAAGTAGGCAGAGAGACAGACAGAGAGAGAGGAGGAAGCACGCTCCCCACTAAGCAGAGAGCCCGATGAGGGGCTCGATCCCAGGACCCTGGGATCATGACCTGAGCCGAAGGCAGAGGCTTTAACCCACTGAGCCACCCAGGTGCCCTGTGGAGCACTGGGTGTGGTGCATAAACAATGAATGGTGGAACACTGAAAAGAAATTAAGTAAAATAAAATGGAAAAAAATAATAAATATCATATTTGGTATTTACAAAAGTTATATTACAAAGTAAGATAATATCAGTGAACACCATGAACCCATTATTTCACCTAACCCAAAAAAAGCTTCAAATATCATCAGTGTGAAAATGAATGAATAGTGGTAATTGTATAGTTACATCACACATCAATGAAATGAAAGAGTTTGAGATCCACAGAACACCACGAGTGAATCTTAGAAAGCATGATGTTGATATCTTTTTTTTTTTTTTTAAGAAAGCAGGAACTGGAAGTCTATATAGAATATGATGCCATTTTTGTGAAGCTCATCAACAAGAGAATATTCATTTTCAAGGAAATAAAAATTTTGGTGCCGTAGATAC